CAACTACACTACCATTGGTGAGCTCCAGCACTTGGCGCGGGGCTGATCCGTCTGCCTGCCTCCCTGTGAGGAGCCTGTTCTTGTGTCCGAAGCCCATTGGCATGACACGATAGGGCCACACTTGCCCCCATGTGTCAGCAGGATGGTGTCAGGGGAGCACAGAGCAGCCCTGGCAGCTAACCCTTCTTATTGTGCAGAGCTCTTCAGCATGTCACTGAATGCTAAGACCAAGGTACGAGGGCTCATCGAGATTATCTCCAATGCAGCAGAGTACGAGAACATTCCCATCCGGCACCACGAGGACAACCTTCTGCGCCAGGTGAGGTGTTCCTGGAGTGGGACCTTGGCCCCAGTGCCCAGGGCACATGCATGCTGCCACCAACACTCCCAGGGCTCCACCCTCATACATTTGTATACCTCCCTACCCCTGAGGAGCTAGGGCCATGTTGGTATCAGGCAGGGTTCCCTGAACATCACCAGCTTTTCCTCCCCTATAGTTGGCTCAGAAGGTCCCCCACAAGATGAATAACCCAAAGTTCAACGATCCGCATGTAAAGACCAACCTGCTGCTGCAGGCTCATCTGTCCCGCATGCAGCTGAGTGCCGAGCTGCAGTCAGACACGGAGGAGATCCTCAGCAAGGTAGGGCAGGGTGAGTGGGGACGCAGTAAGTCAGAGGCAGCCTGGGAGGGCTTGGTCCAACCCGCATACTTTCCTTTGCCCCATGCAGGCAATCCGGCTCATTCAGGCCTGTGTAGACGTGCTCTCTAGCAACGGCTGGCTCAGCCCTGCACTGGCAGCCATGGAGCTGGCCCAGATGGTCACTCAGGCCATGTGGTCCAAGGACTCCTACCTGAAGCAGCTGCCGCATTTCACCTCAGAGCATATCAAACGCTGCACAGACAAGGTAAGATGGGTGGGCCTTGGGTGCTGCCTGAGAACTGAGTGTCCTGGACCTGGATAGGGGTCCTGGGGGTGCTGCAGGTTCCATAATGAGAGGCTGACAGATTGCTGGGTGTGGGCTATAGACTTCTTGGAGCTGCCTTTTGTAAGTTGGCCTGATAGTGGGTTAGCCCTTTTGGAGTCACTTGCTAGACATTAGCCCTTTGAAGCCCGGTCACTTGCTGGTATCCTCTCCCTGAGCTCTGCATGCCCCCTGCAGGGAGTGGAGAGCGTCTTTGACATTATGGAGATGGAGGATGAGGAACGAAATGCACTGCTTCAGCTCACAGACAGCCAGATCGCGGACGTGGCCCGCTTCTGCAACAGATACCCCAACATTGAACTGTCCTATGAAGTGGTTGATAAGGACAGCATCCGAAGGTGAGCAGGGAGGCTAGCGCCTGCCAGGCACAGTGTGCAGCTGTGCAGAGCATGGGTGGCACATCACTCACATGCTGTCCTGCTTCCTCGCAGCGGTGGGCCGGTTGTGGTGCTGGTGCAGCTGGAGCGAGAGGAGGAGGTCACAGGCCCTGTCATTGCTCCTCTCTTCCCTCAGGTACATGCTGGAACTTGGCTTTCCCAGGGGTCCACCTGGGGCCCATCCTCTGGCTAGGTTTTTGCTATATGGTACATTTCCCATGGTAGGAGGGAATTTGAGAGTCACGATGAACTCAGAGGCTGAGAATAAGCCTTGGGCCATGGGCTATTTTTTTCTCTTTTGCTTATTTTTAGGTAATTTAAATGCCTGGTCATTGTTAGAAACATCACTGAGTCATGTTGGTCAGATGGCTGACTGTTACAGTGTGTGTGTCTTGAATCAGCTTCAGGACACTTGGGCTTTTCTAGTTGGTGTCTGTCCTGTCTCCTTGGTCAGGCACACTTTACTGAGCTTCTGGTTTGGTGATTTTTTTTTTGTGGTGACAAAAATAATTTTTTTTGTCACCAGAAAAAAAAATCGGATCTGCTTTATATGGAGAATCATTGCAGGTTGGCAGCAGAAATCAAATCTCTAACTTCATGTTCAGTGCTATAAACAGGTTCTGTGGGGTCTAAAGAGTGTGTTAAACTGGGACACATGGGCATTGTGACAGTGGCAGAGGGGGCTTCTCAATGGGCAGGATTTTAGAGGCCTCCACAGTGCACTTGGGTTCTCTGCTGCAAACTCCTGTCAATGTTCAGATTTTCTCCTCTGGCATGTATGCCTTGTACTTAGGTGGGCCCCAAAGGTTAGCTCTGTGGTGGCAGGCACTGAATGACAAGGGACCTTGGGATAAGGAAATGAGCCACAAAAAACAAGTTGAGTTCATCATCCTAGATGAAATCCATTGAGACACCTTTGACAATTTTAGGATCTAACTGTACCAAATTGTTTCTGGGAGGAACTTTGGGAAACTTCCTGATCTTTGTTGTCTTACTTTTGTAACCACTCTCACTGTTGCCCATGGCTTTTGGGCTTTATATGCTGAAATATTTTTGTCTTTGGCCACTGTAGAAACGTGAAGAGGGCTGGTGGGTTGTGATTGGAGATGCCAAGTCCAACAGCCTCATCTCCATCAAGCGGCTGACCTTGCAGCAGAAGGCCAAGGTGAGTGTCACTGGCCCTGAGGCTGTCCCAAGGTGGGCAGGGTGGTAGTGTGTCCCCTGGCCCAAGCTGCCCTAACTCGTTCCTGCTGTCTCCAGGTGAAGCTGGACTTCGTGGCTCCTGCCACCGGTGCTCACAATTACACCCTGTACTTCATGAGTGACGCATACATGGGCTGTGACCAGGAGTACAAATTCAGCGTGGATGTGAAAGAAGCTGAAACAGACAGTGATTCTGATTGAGTCCCAGGCATCGATGCTTGGCTAGAAGAGGGTTGGTCCTCAATTGGGAATGGGTGCAGCAAAGGGACACTGGTTAGGACCACATCTGTTGGCCTGAGACCTGGACGTTGGGGCTGTTGGGACAGGCTGCTCCTGTCCATTTTCCCTTTGCAGTGCAAGCCCTGGTCCAAGGTGCACAGCCCCTGGTAGATGTTAAGCTGTGTGTAGCATCTTTAGTCAGGCTTTCGTAGTTCTTTTTGTCATTCATTCTAATAAATGGCAACTTGGAGGAAACATTTGTCCTTGTGGTGATTCCAGATTAAATGTTTTCCTCCAATCTAAGGCATTAGCCAAAAAAGATGTTTCTTGGCCACTAGCCTTGCTTACTGAGTACTTGTGGACAGAGCTGCCCTTTGATTGGGCTTCAGTCTGGAAGGAAGGTTTACAAGTGGGCTTTCTTGGATGGGGCATTCTACCTTGGCCCCCATTTTCTACCCCATCTCTCCCTGGGATTTGCAGACTCCAAGTTCAAGCTTCTCAGTAAAATGCACCAGCTGGATCCGACCCAGTCTTGGTAAACTTATTTTGTAATCCTAATCTCCAGATGTTTCAAATCCCTGCCCTGTGTTCTTTTTGAATACACGTGCCAAAAACTGAAAGGTGATTTTGAATGGTAGTTCCTTTAAACTGGCAGTTGTCAAATGATTTGATTTCAGGACCCCTTTACACTATAAAAAAATTAAAACTCCAAAAATTTTTTTGTACTGGGATCGAACTCAAGTCCTTGTGCTTGTGAGGCAGGTGGCAGCACTACTGAGCTAAATCCTGGGCCCCTATGTTAAAAGTTAAAGCTGGGCGTAAAAAAAAATAAAAGTTAAAAGAAGTTCGTGTTAACATCTTTTATGGAAAATAACTTATAAAGTCAATCCAGGGGCCGGGGGATTTGACTCAGTGGTTCTGCTGCCTGCCTCGCAAGCGCAAGGGCCTGAGTTTGATCCCCAGTACCAAAAATCCCCAAAACAAAAAACACTGCTCTGCCCCGCAACAACAAAAGGGCCAGTTTGATCCCCAGTACCAAAAATCCCCAAAACAAAAAACAACGATAGTCAATCCAGGGAGAAGAGTAGCCTGTTAACAATTTCGCAGTCATTCTAAAGTCTGGCTTAACGTAAGAGAGCTGAGGCTCTCACAGCTGCTTATACAGTCTGTTGGATGTGGCTTGAATTGATTTCACAGATAGGGTTGGGAAAGGGAGTTTTTAGCTGTTTCAGGTAACTGGCTGTTCTTGGATACTATAGCAAGACTACATAAGGTAGTTACTTAAAGGCAATGATGGATTTAAAGGCAGTGATGGAATCTAAAACTTTACCCATGTATACCTGTACTGTTAACTAAACCCACTGACCTCAGACTTTGAGTCTCTTGCCTAATTTTGGAAGTGATCACTTGGAAAATGTTGATTAACTGAATAATCTTCCAAATGTTAATGCATTTCATTATACAAATCACATTTGTGAATATCACTACCAGCAAAGCTCATGGTGGCGATACAGCTTTTCAGAAATTCTAATTTTGGGTTTTAAGCTTTGATTTTATCATTGGCAAAGAACACTTACTGGTGAAAGGTTCATTCTGCTCATTTTCCAGAAAAGAGCCAGAGCCAAGTCTAAATACCATTTGTTCTCTCTAGTAAAAAGGGCATAGCTAACTCAACTCTGACTTGGCTGCACACTTGCTTTTCCACTCATCAGTGCAGAAGTGTCAATGCTCATTTTCTCAACATACTAGAAATGATCTCAGGCACATTTAATAGTTAATCAGGTACTGCTTTCAAGGACATGGTCAAGGAACCTGGCAATGTTCCTACTGTAGGTGCGAGGCAGTAAAGTCTTGGACTGCTAATTAGTCACCACCTGGATCACCCCAGTGCCACCCCAAATGGGTCTCAGGATGCCAGGGATCTGCGGTTCATGAGAACTGCCCCAGATGCTGGGCCAGCTGTCTCCAGTCTACGGACATGATTCCTACAGGGCAGAAAATGAAGTGAAGGCTGTTTCCCTGGAGACACCCTCTCCCCAGCCATTTGTCAAGAGACAAGTTGAGAGCCGGGTGTGGTGGTGCACACCTGTAATCCCAGCATTGGGAGGCTGAGGCAGGAGGATCACTGTGAGTTCAAGACCAGCCTGGGCTACATAGTGAAACCCTGTCTAAAAAAAAAAAAAAAGAAGACGACGAGACTGAAGACCTGATTACACATGTACTTCCACTCTTCTCCATGAATGCTCTTCTAAGGGGCTTGGTAGGCATTGTTTTCTAATCTCCACCTTAAAAATGGCTGCCACAGATGCATGGTGATGTCTGCGCTGTGGTCTTTCACAGGGCCATGAGCTTCCATCTCATGTTTTTTGCTAGAACCAGTCTGCTAAGGTACAGCCTGTGGCCAGTAGTAATTCCCATTTAGGGCTCATATCTCTCTCCATTTATTCTCACGCCTCCAGTTGTCTTCATAGTTTAATGGTGTGAGCAGTATGCAAGGGCTTCTAAGGGAAAACAGGTATTTTATTCTACATAAACCTGTGCTAAGGAAGAAGTTCAATATTAAATGTCTTAAGTGCAACAATTTATCTAGAAATTAGGAAGGCAAGACCTATTTCAGACAGTTCATGATGGAATTCTAAAAAACTATAAACAGGACTTTAGATTCAGATGGATTAGTTCCATAAAGCTTACAATTTGAGAAATGGCTGAGACACACTCTTCTACATACATAATAGTAATAAATACTATATTCACCCCCACAGTATAATACCATGTCCTAAAGCAAGCACAATCTGTGGCAAAACAATGTCCTGAAAGTCTGAGGCCCTCATGTCAGAAGGAAAGAATAAGCAGCCCTGTGGCTCCGTACGTGGGTAGCCAAGTCCGAATAGAAGTGAGCCAGCTGAATGAAAGTCACTGATGCTTCTCCAGGTCTTCTCAGGCTGGGAAAGTCTTACGAAATTTCCGGGAAATCAAGACTTTCCCATCAAAGAGGCTCAGGGTCCTTCAGGTCGCTGATACTTCCAGAAGGCCACCTCCCCATCATCACTGCAGGAGGCCAGGAGCCCTGGCTCCTTGGGGTTCCAGGCTACACAGTTGACATCTTGGGAATGGGCCTGGTGCAAGTGGGCAGTCAGGGAGAAGGTGGGCTGCTGCGGATCTGAGCTAGGATCCTCCTCAAACACGCGGATAGCATCGTCCCCACAAGCAGTAGCCAGAGCCCCTGTCAGCTGACACCTGGGGAATACAGTCAATGGGTACCTGGGTGGGTCCTGCCTCCCCACCCAGGTAATGAGGTAAGGAGATTTTTTTTTCCACGGTCCCCAACAGACATCTAAGCCTTCAGGTGCTTCCACTTATTGCCCCAAATAACCTGAAATACAGAATTGCCCTACCTATAGTCTGATGACACTTTTCTCACATAGCATCAACAGTGCCCACACTCGTCATAGAAATATTTTTTTCTTTCGTAGTGCTAAGGATCAAACTCAGGACCTTAAGCATGCTAGGAAAGTGTTCTACCACTGAACTATATCACTGAGCTCATGAAGTATTAACTTCAAAAACAGCGGTAACACGCTATTGAATTCATAGTTTACTTAAGTCCATTTCTGCTGATTCATAGGTTATTCCCAAATGTATGCTAATATAAATAAAGCTTGCATATACACCAACTTCTTTCATGGTTTAGGATTTTTTCTAGATCTGATTGTCAGAGCCAGAATTGTCCTCTATACAAATGCTTCACTTTTCTACCCTCCATAAGGATAGTAGAGTCACTTTTACCAAACCATAAAGACCTGTCAAGGTCCTGGAAATTTTTTCTAGATCTGATTGTCAGAGCCAGAATTGTCCTCTATACAAATGCTTCACTTTTCTCTACCCTCCATAAGGATAGTAGAGTCACTTTTACCAAACCATAAAGACCTGTCAAGGTCCTGGGAGTGTTCTCAGTGACAGATCACTTGCTTAATGTGCACAAGGTCCTGAGTTTAATCTCTCTAGCCAGAAAGAAAAACCCCAGTCACAGATTTTTATGCTGTGTGAACCCCAAGGTCTGCTGCTGCCCTCAGGCTGGGATCTTAACTCAGGGGCTGGCCTGGGTCTAAGACTGCTGTCCACTCCTGTGAACCCCAAGCCAGCCAGCTCAAAGCCAACAGACCTGATCTTAAGAAATAGGGTGGCTGCTTAGTTCTTAAGCTGGCAGAGGGAAGCACAGAGCCATGACATCTCTGAAATCCCTGAATACAGTGGGTTCACCCAAATCTTACCAAGCAACATCGTAAATGGTCCTGGAGTGGAAGCCCGAAAGAGTACAGATGCATTTCCAGCTGGGGTCAGAGCCGCTGCATGCCACCCCTGCACAACAGACTTCTCTTAAAACCAAGCTGTATCAGCGTCCTGGACATCTCGGGCAAACCTACACCACTGCTGAGAACCTCGCTTGCCCAAATCCTGGTCTCCAACTCTGCCCCCATCGTTATCTGCTTCACACACTGTGGCCAGGCTCATCTTGCTGAAACTTCCCTGTTCTGGTGATACTGTACCTAACAAGTTAGCCTGCTGCTTATGCCCACCCACCCACCAGCCAACCCAACCCACTGTACTCCTCCCCGGCCCTTTCTAGCCTTCGTCCCATCAACACAAATCACTGTTCCTAATGTAAGCCTAGACAATCCCACCACCAATGCATGTGCTCCTGCTGCGAGGCTTTTACTAGACCTTCCCTTCATGTATGAAATTCTTTTCCTCATATTAACATCCTACATGCCCTTTCAGATTTAGGCAAAATGGCTCCATGAACCTTCCCCTAATTCTTCTGTAACTCTTAACTGGAGCCCTCTGTGATCCACATTACTTCTGAACCTAAGGTGCTGTGATTCATGGAGGTGTCTTAGCAGACTGTAAAGCTCTTAAGAGTCTCTTTTAACTCTACAACTGGACCCTTACCTTGTTCATTGCCTGGTAGATACTGGCGCCAAATGCGCACTGTACGGTCATCACTGCAAGATGCCAGACGTTGGCCAGTGGGATCAAAAGCCAAGCTCCACACAGTGGATTCATGGCCCTCAAGGGTGGCAAAGCATACCCAGTCATCTTCTTCTTCCCGGTACAGCTTCACTGTGTCATCATAGCTGGCAGAGGCCAACAGCTGTGGGAAGGGGAAAGAGACCCAGCACTTGTCCGTGAGGCTCAAGAAGTACCTGTCATTCCAACGCCTCTACTGGAACAGGGCAATCCCAGTAATCTATTTTTATAAAGGAATTCATGTTTTTCAGTCACAGAGATCCCTATAATACTTGAATGAGGTGAAACAGCAGAGGAAGGCTGGCCAGAAGCTTCCATACCAAACTTTCTTCCACCAAGAGATCTAGTCTGACTCTTACCTCCTGGCTTGGGTGCCAAACCACATGCTTGACATCCTGTGTATGAGAGTTGAGAACACTGACACATTCATACTCATCTTCTTCATCAACTGTGGGAGAAAAAAGGAGCCAACTCTCACAGGGATGTCTGTGAGCTAGTTCTCCACTGCACCTGAAGGGATCTGGACTTACCTTCCCAGACCCACACGCTCTTATCTCGGCTACAGGTGGCCAAAAGGTTGCCAGATGGGGCCCAAGCCACAGACTTAACCTCATTTTCATGGCCCTCAAGGGTAGTTACACACTAAAAAGGGAAGGACAAAAATTAATGGCAGCTGTGACCTCTAGGATATAGTCAAAATCCAAGGTCATGATTTGTATAGTATGAAAAATTAAGTGAAGGCTGTAGCCTTCTTGCAAGTTCCACCCAAATGGCCCTGGCTGGCTCATATTCCTGAACCAGCCCTAAGATGGCAGAGGGCAGCACAGGGAAGCAAAATGGCAAAAATCTTGGTTCCATTCAGCCTCATTACCTCGAAGTCATCCTGGTTCTTCTTCCAAATGCAAGTAGTTGCATCAAAGCTGGCAGAAGCTAGGTAATTCCCACAGGGAGACCAGGCTACCTTTCGGACAGTGCGCTGATGGCCTTCAGAAAGGACAGACTTGCAGACCCAGCTGTCACCTACAGGCAGAGGACAGGCTGGGCTGTGGAGTTGGGTCACAAGAAGGTGCTTCCATATCTTCAATGCTATTCAATCAAGGGGGCTGTAATTGGAGCCCAGCTGGGGGTTATTAAAGCTCAATCCGTGTATTTAATAGCATGCTTTTATAAAGATATAACTGGCTACTTCCTCTGGAGGCATCCTTCTAAACTAAATCGGAGGTGGCCTTCCTAATTTAAAACTGACAATGGCTCCTGAATGCCACAATACACTTTATGGACTACTTCCTACCACCTTCCTTCCACTTTCCTGCCTCAGCAACAGTCCCAACTCCTGGAGCAGTCATTCGCAGGCTGGCTTCACGTTTTTTTGTTTGTTTTTGTTTTTTTTTTTGCAGGACAGGCCGCCCCTCTGCCCGACAAAACCTCCCAGGGGTGGCGTGGCTACAGCCCCTCCCTCAGCTCTCACACTGTGCACCAGCCGAAGCCTCGAAGCCTCGACGCCATTTCGCGTAGGTAGGCCAGGCCAGGCCTTACCCTCGGTGCCCCAGATACGGATTCGACGGTCGCCACCGCACGAGGCCAGCAGGGTCCCGGCGGGGTTCCAGGCCAGGAACCAGCAGCGGGAGTCCGGGTGCGCCTGGACACGGCCCAGTAGCACCAGCGAGTCCTTCATGGCCGCCGGCGCAGGGTGAGGAGGAGGTAGGCAGAGTCAACGCGCCAACCACTGGTCCCACAACGTTAGCCCAAGGACGCCAGCTCGAGGTTCCCGCGGCAAATAGGATCCAGCTTCCGCCCAGAGCCCGGGTTGTCCTGGGAACTGAAGCGCCCTCGGCTGTGCCGCTGTGGCCTCTGGGAGTTGTGGTCGTTCCACTCCCAGCCGCGGTAAGAGTTGCGGGACCGTCCAGAACTACTATTCCCACAAGGCATCGCGCAGAGAGCCGGCTACTCTCGCAGGCTGCGGCTCGGGCAGGGCACTGGGCGGGGAGCCGGAGGAGGAGGAGGCAGAGTAGGAAGAAGCCGGAAGTACTTCGACCCGGGTCGGTCTGGGCGTTGCGGGATTGGGGCCTGGGATCGCTTGGCCCCGGGCAGCCGAGAAGCCCGTGACGGGGCGGAGCAGCGTCATCCCATCCTTGAGGCCTGCTGACTGGTGAGGAGCAAGGGACAGAGTGAGAAAGGTTTTTTTGTTTTTTTTGCCGCAGGTCGCACCAGAAGGTGCGGGTCCTAGATCTTCGGTCCCGGATCCCCTTGGCCCAGCGGGTCCTCCGCCCTTAGTCACCCTCTGGCCAAGACTCCGGGTTCAGATTCTCCCGTCCCCAATAGCCAATCCTCAGTATCTCCGCGACACCCCCCTCCCCCGTCCTGGTCTGCACAGACCCCAGTGGCTCCCCACCGTCTTCTGGTCCTTGCCCCACACCCCTAATCCTGAGCCCTGGTTCCCGGTCTCCTAATCCCCGCAGTCCTGTGGTCTCTGCTCAGCCCTGGGTCCCACCCTTCATCCTCCACTGTGGGCCTTGACAGCCCCGCTTCGGCACCCAGTGCATTGCTCTCCTCCCCGGGACAGGCAGGCGACCACCAGCGACCGCACAGCGACGGCGGGCAGCCCCGGGCATGTACGCCCCT